GGAAATTTCTAGCATGCAAGAGAACGTTGAGCGTCAATTGTTTATAAATCATAACCTCCGCTTATAACTCGATCCAGATTTTTCTTTCTTTTTTTTGGAAAGTATTCTTAAATTCAGTTTCATTGTTGATTAGGGATAGGATTTTTATTGCATGAAGCATAATGACCTTTAAATTTGGTTCTTTAGGATCCCTAACCCGCCTCCTGTCTTGAATTCAGATTGTTATAGGTGATAAAGGAGGCTTGATTTTTAACGAGTATGTTTGAAAAAACAATGATAAATAAAATTGTATTTTTTATTTATTGTAGTTGTGCTTGGTAAAAAATAATTGTAACTGCGTATTTTGACATTAATAATAATAATAATAATAAAATAGTCACTACTATGATGAATAACATCATAATCTTACTAATTGTCTACGTAGATAATAAAATTTGGTGTGGTCGAAACGACAACCTACCGTCTAAACACTATCGGAGATTGATAATAGAGTAAACAAACATAACAAAAGATAAAATGAAGATTTGAAATTAGAGATTAACTCATACCTGAAACGGATGTTACAACTATATATAATTTTTTATAGATACAAAAAATAAACGGGTTGGCTTAAGTCTTCAACTCAAAGATGACTCGAATATGACTCACTTAATTATATATAATTTTTTAGGGAAATCTCCAATAAAGTCCTAAAATTTTAGCCCGGTTTATGTTTTAGTCTTAAACTAATTTTTGTTTACGAAAAAATCCCAAAAACCGGCAAAAGTTTGCATTTTGATCCTTTTTGACTGGTTAGAACCGGTAACAAATTAATTTATGACTATTTCATAAATAGACCAAAAATATTGGGACTTTTCCGCAAAAACAAAAAATATTAGGGTTTTTCTGCAAACAAAAACTTTATTATTATTATATTAAAAATATAAATAAGTATACTATTTTTTTAAATTTGTTATTATTAATATTATTAATAATACATATAAATACATTTAAATTAAAAAAATATTAAAGATATTTTATAAATGTGAAGATTGAGCGGATGGTAATGCTTTAAGCTTTAAAATCATGAATGTCTCTTTGTAGATTCTAACTTTGTATATGGTCATTTCACATTTGTTATTATTGTTTTTAATTCAGAATATTAACATTTAACAATTTAAAAGAAGCTACTGATTTTCCAAATTGTTTACAAATAGTGAGCATGTGATATGAGTGTATGTCTTGTGTGTAAGTATTTTTGAATTACCAACATGTGTGTTGCTCTTTTTCATTACTTTATCCTTGTGGTTTTTTTTTTGAAACATAGCAGATATAGTATGATAAAGCAAAATAAATCATATTACTTTCTATTAAATAAGATATTATAATTAATATTTTCGAATTTTGATATGGGCCACCAATGTAAATATTTATTGTGGATCTGTTGGATTTGAAAAGAAATCATTCTACCTTAAGAAATTTTATATACAAAGTGAGAAATCCTTTTATCTTAAACTATTTATACATAATTTTACAAATAGGCAATTTCTTTTAAATTGTTAAGTGTTAATATTTTGAATTGAAAAGAATAATAAGAAATGTGAAATGATCATATACATAGTGAGGACATACAAGCAGTGATTTCAATGCTTAAAGCATTACCATCACCACCACCTTCACCTTTAAATAATTTCTTTAATATATTTTTATTTAAGTGTATTTATATGTATTATTAAAAATATTAATAATAATGAATTTAAAAATTAGTATACTTGTTTATAATAATAATAATAATAATAATAATAATAATAATAATAAAGTTTTTATTTGCAGAAAAGTCCTAATATTTTTTTTTGCAGAAAAAATCCCAATATTTTAGGTCATTTTGTGAAATAGTCCCAAAATTTTAGGTTAGTTTATGAAATAGTCCCAAATTAATTTGTTGCCGGTTCCAACCGGTCAAAAGGGGTAAAAATGCATACTTTTGCCGGTTTTTAGGACTTTTTCGTAAACAAAAATTAGTTTAGGACTAAAACGTAAACCGGGTTAAAATTTTAGGACTTTATTTGAGATTTCCCTAATTTTTTATTTTATAAATATATTATATATTGTAGACTTGTAGTAGATTAAACTCAATAATTATAGTTATGACAAAATGCAGAAAAAAAACAATCATTTTATCTACCAGCATTCAAAAAATGGATAATGACTTGAGAGGGTAACAAAATTTCAATTTTGCTCACATTTAGTAATATATTTTTTTTCGTGCTTGATTTATTCCTAAGTTATTTGAAATTGTTCATATTTACCCTATGAAAGTGAACCACCATACCAAAAGGCTTCCTTCTCGTTCAATGATCACAAAAGTACCAAAAATGAGCTCACAATATGCAAAGCAGGCTAAGGTTAGTGTTTCTGAGCTTGGGAGGGTGATGGAGGTTGAATGATCACGAAATCCTAGCCATAATGTCCTTTAAATAGGACCTAAAGCCCAAAGATTAGGGTTTTCTTGAAAACAGTTGTCAGGTCGTGACACCAATGGTCACACCGTGGTTGGTTATTAAAATCCTACGATCATGAAAAGTACTACCCATGGTCATTAAACAATTTTCGTGCTTAATTTACCCCTAATTTTTTTGAAATTGTTCACATTTTACACTTATGACCGGTTATAATCGGTCATCAGTGTAAAATGTGAACAATTTCAAATAATTAATGGGTAAATCAAGCACGGAAAAACATTCAATGACTAAATGTGAACAGAGTTAAAAGTTCGTTACCCTATCAAGTCATTATCCCTTCAAAAAAAAATATACTCTTACATTTTCAGTTAACTTTCACATTAACCAAAATATCTGATTTTTAAAAGAAATTACCGATTGTTTTATGACATGACATTTATCGTTTTCGTTTTTAGGTTAACACAGAAACATAAATAAGTGACACTACCTCTTTTCTAAAGTAAAACGTAAGAAATATATAATTTACTTGATGACCATTACTCAAACAAAAATAAGTGACAATGTTTTTTTTTCCATATCAACCCAAAAACAAACAAGATAAATGTCATCTAGAAAACAACCCAATAACTTTAAAAACAGATATTTTGATAAATTTGAAAGGTAACTAAAAATGTAAAAGTTTTTTTTTTTTTTTTTTTTTTTTTTTTTTTTTTTTTTTTTTTTTGCATATAAAGAAAATATAAGGGTTTTTCTGAATGTTGATAGATAAATAGTTGTGTTTTTCTGTATTTTACCCTTACACTTATAATTATAATGAAAATTTAGGATGGACTAAAGCTAAATCACATTAAGGAAAACAAAAAATATGGAAGTGTTCCAATTTTCAAAGTGACTTAATCCAAATGGCCTAGCCCTTTTGCATCCCAAACTTTTACTCTTTCCATTTTGCCCTCTCGATTTACTATAAATTTTATCATCTCACCTCTTGACTCTAGTGTTTTATTTTTTTTTCCTTTTCGTCTCCCCGCCTCCTACTTTACAACTTGTAAGATGTTTCAATCTGATATGACACAACATGTTACAAAGTCTAAAGCTTAACCCAAAACCCGACACATCTCCTATTTTTCCAACTTGTAAAATGTTTCAACCTGACATGACACAACCTATTTACAAGGTCTAAAGCTTAATTCAAAACCCGACACAAAAATAAATGGATTGCACGGGATGTTACAATAATTAAACGAGTATGGTTAAGCTCAAGTCTTTTCAATAGTTTTGATGTCTTGACATGACACGAACTAAGCACAACACAACATGTTGCCATGTTTAATCTCTCGCTTCCTTTCATCCGATTGAGTTTGAATTCAGTGATTTAGGAGCATAGATGTACTATCAAGAGAGGGCAAAAGCAAGCCTATGGATTGGATACTGTGCGAATTAGTCAACGGAATAAGAAACTCTCTGCATCTACTTCGAACCCATTCACCGCTTTTGTCTATGGTATTTTTTTTTAATCGATGGTGTTATTTTCAGTTATTTTGCCATAAGAACCTTCTATACTTTTGGGGTTAAATCACTGTAGCGCTCTCCCTTTGATGTTCGGTTCTATCATGACGGAATCAAAGGGAAAAACCTTAAATCCTAGCTGTTCACGAGAAGTATACAGGTAATTATTCTTCTATTTTGATGTTGGGAGCCTCTTATTGAAGATTTCAACTATAAATGACTCCTAGTTTTTTTTTCTTTTTGGTTTTCTGTTTACAAGGCAAAGATATTAAAAAAGGACATTTTGAGTATAATTATATTATGATATGAATACAGGAAGATAAAGGTTATCTATTGATGTACGATTAAGGGGCTGTTTATGACATGTGCTGAAGGTTTTACTAGTTTAAACGAATGACAGCTGGAAGTGGTGACGAAGTACGTTGAGAGTGTCGTCATTCCGTCATTCCAAGTGGATGGATTTGCATGTATAAATACAAGTGTCCTCTTTCGCTTAGATATTATCAAAAGTTTCGATTATTAACACTTGCTTACATCTTGTTTCCACTCGAGAAATTAGCAAAATGTATTGTTAGGGTTTTCTTCTGTCCATAGTCGTGTTTCATCTCCGTAATTAATCTGTAATTGTGTGCGTAAGACAAGTGGTTGTATACTTAGTATGTCTTGTATGTTGAAAACAAAACCAAAAAAGAATCAATTGGGGCTTTCCATTTCTTTTATCACTTCGCATTTCGCACTCAAAATAACATGGCATAATGACATAACCAAAATGTAAATAAAAATTATATATAGTTTATCTCTCAACTTGCATTTAGGTTAAATAAGCATGCAAAAGATAACAATTTACTTGGTTACTTCTCTATAACAAAACATACCTCACCACACACCTACTCTACCTCTTTCTTTCTTTCTTTTACTTTTTTGTTATTTCTCTTTTTTTTTTTAATCTTTTTTCATACAATATGTCAACTAAATATTACGGGTCCCACCTCAAAGACCAAGATACACGAGATATGGAAATGATTTGGGTTTGTTACAAAGGTTTAAAATCAATTATGATGATATGATATCATCTCCGTGAAAAGAAAAGATAATCCGGATGGTTGACCTGAAGTGAAGTCAACCAAGTGTCAGCAGCTTGTAACAAAGAGGTCATCAATGGCAATTCATTGGGGACCCACAGTGGTGCCTTGAATTTGTATGAAGCAAGACCGAACACCGGTAATGAAACCACCGGAATCGGAATGGAATCTGTCCCGTTGGAATGGCTTACAACAGGTGGATGCTCACATTCATTGCCTGAAACAAACAAAAACAATAATAATGCAACTTGTAAATTAATATATATAAAAAAAGATTGTTCCTCAGGCTAAAAAATCCAGGGAGATTTATATGATATATATGAATGACCTGTTGTAGGAGTGTGAAGAGAATGAAAAGTTAGAAAACAAGCATCAAGATCTTTCAACGTGGGCCCCATGGGAATTCTGTATATTGGGTACCTGATAAAAAGCATCAAAACAAGGGCCATTAAGTAGTAGCATATTATGTAAGAAAGAGCAAGTAGCAAAGACCATATTAAGAATCTGTTTGATTGGATGGAATGGAATCACAAAGGAATGGAATCAGTCTGTGATCATTAAACCCCAAATAAGTTGCAATTAAAACGACATTTACTCGATCTTTTACAATAAAAATAGTAGTTTAATTAGAATTATACAACCTTTAAAAAAACTGTGTGATTAAAAAGTACTTAAATAAAAATGGGTTATATTGCAATTTTTAAGATGGGTGACGAAGGCATAAACACTAACAAAATGAAAGGAATCACATTCCTTTGGAAATGGTCAACAAACAGGATTTTTCATTCCTATGGAATGAACAATTCCATTCCTTTCCAAACTCTACTGAAAAGGTATTAGCAATCATACCAAGCAACAGACAGCCAACTAGATGGCAGCAAGTCACAACTTCTTAGACTTTTTAATTCAGGGAAGCATCGAGCAAGATCAAGTATCTGTTACAACAAGAAAACAGAACTAATTATATGAAGAAAATAAAGAATAAAAGACACTTTCTTGTTTTTATTTGTAACAGAAGGAGGAGCTGACCTTATCAGTCAAAGGTTCTCTGCCCCAAGGCTGATTCTGTTCCATGTACTGAAATAACAAGCTGCTTTGAGTGGTGGCAGAATCACTATCATCGCTAGAAAAGCCTTCTTGAAGTACATTGTGTTGATCATTCATTGACAAATGATCCATTCGATGAAGAATGTCATTCTTTGGGTGATGATTATTACTCTTCTCCCTTAGATAATGTAAAGAGCCCCTTTCATGTTCATAATCACTGCTCCCATCACTACTTGAATCCCTAAATGAGTTATCATCACTATCCTCAGTTGGTTGCCTGTAAAGCAGCAAAACAAGAAGATTATTTAGATTTCATAAAAGAAGCATAATAGATGCTACTAGTTGGAATGGGGTCTGACATAACCCTAAACAAGAAGGAGGAAGAATGGAAGAAATTTACTATTCTAGTACCTGGATTTTATTGAAGACTTCAAAGGGTCTGTGTATATTTGAATTCCAGATAGATAAGGCACATAATACTGGATCACACTATCAGCTTCATTCAATATCAAAGGAACTCCAGCACCATAAGCACTCCACTCCTTAAAAGATTCCCACAAATCACCAAGAACAAAGTATGGTTGATATTCCACATCACTTGTCCTCCATCCTCTCATAGTTCTCTGCTGCCATAAAGTTCAAGTAAAATCATCATTTGGATCAAATACACAGCTACAATATCCCTGTTTATACATGATTACTGAACATTAACCATTTTATTGTATTCTAATTCTTTTTGGAAGGTACTTTAGCAGAAATACATATATTTTGATGTCAATATATGATATCCTTGATTGAACAATAGAAATATAACATCAAAGGCAAACTCTGTTCATGGAGACCTCATAAAGACTGAAAGGCCACCCTTAGGGCTCACAGAATAATGAATTCAAGCTGACTTCATTTGTTTTCAAATATGAATTTCAGAGAAGTAGTACCAATGACAAAAGAGAAAGCCACAATTAAAAATGTAAAGTAAAGTATACTGCTAGATTATATATCAAAAAACTGATTGGTTGACCATCCCATAGTCAATTGAATAAACCAAATGTTCCTAAGAGTTACTTTACTCCATGATATAATGAATTAGCAATACATGTGTAAACTGAAAAGACTAATTTGAATCAATTGAACTCATTTCAATGAAAAAGATTAACATCGGTACAGACCTTAGAGGGATGTTGAGCAGGAACAGAAGGCGTAACAGAGTCTAAAAACCGTTCAAGATTACACAACGGTGAAGATGCCGGCACCGCCGCCACTGAGGATTCCAACGGCACCGGCTTCGATGGCTGTATGAGTCGATTCTCCGGCTCCTCCCTGCCAGATGATGTCGTAGATTGGGTCGGACTAACGTCACTTTGAGCTCTACGGATGTTCTCTTGATTCTGACGATTCCTTCTCGCTTTCGCCGGATTGTAAAACCTATCCTCTCCGCCACGACTACGTCCAAACTGCAATCCAGCGCCCAACATCTTCACTAAAACCCTAAGTTACAAATCCTTCGATCTCTCCAATAAAACCGAATCACGAAAGCAACGATTTGTCGACAAATTTATAAGTCAATGAGATTGATTTTGATTCATTTTTTCTGTAAGAGATAAATCTAACACAAAACCGCGTCGGGTATTTGATTTTTTTGTAAACGAATAGTTAAAAACAAGATGAAAATCAGCCGATTAGGGAGTCGATGGATTCAGAAAAACCCTGCAATTTGACAAAATCAAACGAAATCAAACAATAAAGCAACGATTTGTGTTGTTGTTGTGACGATCGAAAGGCGAACAGGATTGGAACTAGTCTTGAATGAAGGTTTGATGAGAGAGACGAAAAGCAGTGTGTGAGGGAAATGGATGGGGGACAGGCTATTAACACCCAAAAGAGTGAATTATAAAAATCGATACCCCTACCTTCACATAATCACATCCATTTCACTTTCTTTGTTTGTTTGTTTTTTTATATGATTTTTGTTAAGGATAATAATCACGGAAATGGATGATATAATTAACAAATGTAATTAACTAAATCATTTAGTTATTTATTAAAATGACTATAACTATTTTGAATATATGACATACATAAAATATAGGGACTATTTTTTGTTTTTTTATTAAAGAATTTTTTTTTTTTTTGGTAAAATGACCATTTGGTCCGGAATGGGATGTTCCGGACTCGATTTCAAAATCGGTTAAATAAATAGTAATTTCAACCCGGTAATCTATAAATTCCATTTAATCCGTTTCAAATTATACTTCGACATCCTTTGTTTCGGATTAAACTCGATATCCTATTCCGAACAGCTCTACAATTAAAAATGTCTTCCGATATTCGTGAAGAAATACAATTTTTATTTGTAAGTTTTAAATTTGTTTAACGAAATGCATTTATTTTTTTATTATACGTTAAAAATGTCTAGTTTACTCAATTATAGGGTTTTCTGTGAACATTAATCTTGTTAAGGTAATTATAAGATTACATAGACTTATACATCTAAACTACATGATACATCGTAATTAAAAACCCTATTTTTTGTTAGTCCGGAACGTATATAGAATAAGAAAATATTGTCTGAAATACAATGAACTGGGTTTGGAATTTTGGTCAGGAAGTTATGGTTCAGAATACTATACCCAATTTTCGGATTCCAGAACATACATACAAAAATCCTAATTCTGGAATACAATAAAAACCCCAAATTCTGGAATACAATCAAAAACCATAATTTCACTCCGGAACATACATACAAAAATCCTTAATTAACAATTCTTTTGACTGTAGCATGATAGAACATACGCAACGATTGTTACTACAACCTGCAAACCTGAACTTGGGCGGGAAATCATGGCGCTCTTACAAAACCGACTAGATTGTATGGCGATGTTTAGGCAATCATGTTTTGGTGATTACGTGCACATATCGACAGGTGTCGAGTGACACCATTTACTATGTCATTATCTAATGTGTAAGGAAGTTAATATTTTTTATCCAATTGACCTATAAGAACTTCTATTTCCGGTTGGCGACTATATGGTTTGCTTTGATAGGAAAGCATTCTACTTAGTCACCGGCCTGCAGCTTATTTTCATCCCAGTTCTGGTTTTGCAGCATTCAAAGAACGTATGTTTCCATTTCTGCCACTTTCACATTTTGTGAGTATGGATGACCTTACAAACGTGATCAATAACTCACTTCATCAATTAAGCAATGAGGACGTGGTGAGAGTCACCCTGTTGTATACGCTAGAGCAAGGATTTTTGGGGAAATACCCGCAACAACTAGTTACTAATGAACGCATGACACTCGTCTCTAATTTACTGGAGTTTAACAGGTATAACAAATTTTCACCCACATTATATCAAAATGATATATATACCTATTGTGACAACCCGATACTTTTTAGTTAACAAAAGTCAATCACGTTAAATAAAATTTTGAATTTTGTTTATTCCATTAAGCTTGAGAGGGTTAGAAAATAATTTAAAATATATAAATAAGATTTATATAAGTGTCGGAACCAAAAACACTCGAAAAATCAAGTTTTCCCTTGAAAATCAGTAGAAAACTCGTTCAGTCCTCGTTTTCGGCCGAAAATCCTTTGGCCGAAAATAGTTCTCGGTCGAGAACCCACATTTCGGCCGAAAACCCAGCCGATATAAAGGTTTTCATCCGAAAACTTTGCCATTTTCACTCTTTCCACCCGAAAACTCTCTCAATTCTCTCCCAATGATCATCCAATAACACCCTCATCTTCAAGAAGGAACTTTCAAATCTTCAAGTTTTTCCTCAAGAACACCAAGAACAACAAGAACACCAAGAAGAGCCTTCATATCTTCAAAGGCTGAAAACACTAGCAGATCTAAACACCTAATTTCGGCCGAAAACCAGTTCACAACCGAAAACTAGCTCACGGCCGAAAACCCATGTAACACCCATGAAATTCCAACCAATTTAAAACTTTTTAAATAATTTGAAACCATTCAATTATTACAATTTGTTTTCAAAATAGTTTATACATCAGATGAAACGACCCAAAAATACGACCCAAAAATTTCGTTTTTAATACCATCAAAACTATAATCAGAGTATCATATAAATAAACCATGCATGATATGTCCCAAAATATAATAAAGTACTGTGCGGAAACTGTAACATACTATATCCAAAAACAACAACTAAATCAAATCCAGTCTAAAGCTGAAACGGTGGTGTGTGCGATGCCGTCATCCCGAGCTCTTCCCTTTGCTTGCAGAAGTACCTGAAACCAAAACTGAAACTGTAAGCACGAAGCTTAGTGAGCTCCCCCCAACTTACCACACACCATACAACAACATATAACACATATTGGGCCTTGCCCACTGCATCGGGCCGGGGCCCGGAAACTGCATCGGACCGAAGTCCGGAACTGACTGGGACCTTGTCCCCTGCATCGGACCCAAGTCCGGAACTGACTGCATCGGACCGAAGTCCGGAACTGACTGCATCGGACCGAAGTCCGGAACTGACTGCATCGGACCGAGTCCGGAACTGACTGGGACCGTGTCCCCTGCATCGGGCCGGAGCCCGGAACTAACTGCATCGGACCGAAGTCCGGAACTGACTGAGCATAGCATAGCATATCATAACAAACATATTACATACTGCATCGGGTCGCAACCCGGAACATAAAACACATAACACATAGCACATGAATTATGTCTGAACCACGAAGGCATCAAACATACTAACTACTACATCGGATCGAAGTCCGGAAACTACTATTAACTGGACGGGCCGGCATTGTGGCCTTAGACCCGCCCCTACGGGAAGGAAACTCACCTCGTAAGCTAGCGGATGAGTGTGCGGCTCGGGAAGCTAACGGCTGCTGCTCCTGAATCTCCTCGGCTACAAATCCATGAACACACTCAATCAATCACTAGCACTACACTCAGGGTAAAATGACTCTTTTACCCTTGGTCAAAGTTGACTTACTCAGGGCTGACTCGCCGAGTCGGGATATCCGACTCGCCGAGTCCTAGACTCTCCGTTCAACTCTTACATGCATCGACTCGACGAGTACCCTCTGGATCCAAGAACTCAGATGATCTTCATCCGACTCGCCGAGTCAGATGAACAGACTCGACGAGTTGTTCTTGATCCCCAAGAAGATTGCCTTGGACTCGCCGAGTTGTATGAACAAACTCGCCGAGTCCCTCCATCACTGAGTCTACTCTTAACTCGCTGAGTCCACTCCCTAACTCACCTCGTACACTCGACACTGAAGAAACTGAAGAACTCGGGACTCGCGACCGGACTCGTCGAGTCGTTCTTCCGACTCGCCGAGTCGCCGCCATGCAACATATTTTTACTCGATATCTCTTGAATCCAACACATGCAAATGATAGATCTAGGTCCATTAAGCTGTTTTACCACGTAAAGTTTCCAACTTTACGTGCACAACCACATGAATGAGGGAAAAAAGACTAAAATATGCACAATAAGGGTAGATCCATGGCTAATAAGCAATGTAACTCCAAAAAGACAGTGGATCTGGACTCTACAACACCCCAACACTCAGATCCAAAGGTATTTCGGCTTAATAACACATTCAAGCAAGCATGAAGCTTGGAACAAGCATCAAATAGCCCTAAAAGAGCTCTAATAGAAGTTTAAGCATGAAACCAGAAGGGAACTCCGAAAATACCTCAATAAGTTCACACTTGACCTTGGATCTTGGCACTAGAACACGTTCCCTTGCTTCCTTCTTCTTCTCCTTCTTCACCCCTTCACAAAATGGAACAAGATCACTTATAAGCTCACAAGAGGGAGGTTTAGGGTTTCTCACAGTGCTCTCAGGGGGAAAGTGACGAGATGGAGGCTATAATGGGGTTTAAATAGTGAGCAAACCCAGGGATTTAGGGTTTCACCCAGACGGACGGACTCGCCGAGTCCAGGGTATGGACTCGCCGAGTCGCCGGCTCCCGCGTGCACAAGATGCGCGACCCGACTCGGCGAGTCAGGCTAGAACTCGCCGAGTCCCTCTTGAAAACTTAGCCCCAAAACAAATTAATTAACATACCGGAAACGGGTCGTTACAATTCTCCCCCACTTGTTTCAGACTTCGTCCTCGAAGTCTGCTACGGCTGAATCTGCGAATAACTCCGGGTAGTGCGTTCTCATTTCTTCTTCAGCCTCCCATGTCCATTCAGACCCCTTCCGATGCTGCCACTGTACCTTTACCAGCTGAATTACCTTGTTCCTCAAGGTCTTGGTCTTCCGTTCCAAAATTGCTATCGGCTTCTCGATATAATTCAAGCCGCTATCGACCTGGATATCCTCCAAGGGAACGACCGCTGACTCGTCCACTAAACACTTCCTCAACTGCGACACGTGGAAAGTGTTGTGCATCAAACTGAGCTCCTCAGGAAGATCTAACCGGTAAGCAACTCGACCCACCCGGGCCAACACCCTGAAAGGACCAATAAATCTGGGGCCCAATTTGCCCCTCTTCCGGAACCTGATGACACCTTTCCAAGGTGAGACTTTCAGAAGAACCATGTCTCCTACCTGGAACTCCAAGTCTGAACGCCTCTTGTCGGCGTAGCTCTTCTGCCGACTCTGCGCAGTCTGCAGTCTACTACGGACCTGCTGGATCAGTTCCGTCGTCTTGAGCACCACTTCGGTGCTTCCCATAACCCGCTGACCGACCTCGCCCCAACAAATCGGGGTCCTGCACTTCCTGCCATATAACATCTCAAAAGGAGGTCGATCAATGCTCGCATGATAGCTGTTGTTATACGAGAATTCTGCTAAAGGAAGATACGTATCCCAACAGCCCCCAAAATCCAGAACGCATGCCCTAAGCATGTCCTCGAGAGTCTGAATCATCCTCTCGCTCTGCCCGTCAGTCTGAGGATGAAAAGCGGTGCTGAAATGGAGACGAGTACCC